AGCAGATTGTAAAGCTAGTCTTAGAATCTCTATGCTTTCTGTGAAAAGAAAGAGTTGTTTGAGTAGCCTTTCTAAAATTGTGGACAACCCTAGCATTTTATTTACCTGTTAATAATTCATATGATATCTATCCATCTGGGGTAATTTTGAAAACCTTAATATTCCTGGTAATTCAGAAAAGATCTCATCACCATGATTAAAGGGAACATTAAAGGAGTAGAGGGATGAGTTCAGATAGAAGTTGTCTGCTCTATAGTTAGAATTCATATTTAAGAACTTCTAACTCTCATATGAGTTGGCTTACTGTTTAGTTGAATATATTTAATTTCTTTCTATAGTATGTTGCTATTTTATATGATTTTCTGGGTAATATTACAAGCCATTCCATTTTATCTCATAATTAGACATTGTTTAAATATGAACTAAAATGGAATTAACGCCTCTCAATGTTTATAAGTGGCATCTTGTACTTACTTAGAGGTCTGTCAGTTCTTAAAGTAGCTATTTTTTGCCCTAACTTCTTTTCAATGTTATATGGTCTTTTGGCTTTAACAGAATATTTGCATTCAGTACTTTGGTATGATTCTAGTTTAAGCACAAAGTTTAATTTTAAATTCTCTGTACCATGAGAACATATACAAAACTAACCCTAACTGGGAACACTAGTGATTACCTATAGTATTTTACAATGGCTATTGTTACTTGGGTTATAAAGGCTCAGTTTCTTGGAATCCCATAATGTCTATTGCTTCAGAATAAAAAAGAAGTATAGAAATCTCTTGGAAGATATGTGTAAGTATGATCTAATCATCATTATTGTATCAATTTAGCCTTTCTCTTGTCGAAGGATTTTTCCTGTGCTAGCCAGAGTTTGCTTTTGAAAGTACGATGTTAACCGTGTACAAGTATTTGTGTGTGCTAGGAGAGGTGGCCATAAAGCGTATAGCCTTCATACAATTCATAGCAAATGGCATTGACAGTTGCTGTCACTTAAAAATTATTAAAGCAGTTGAGAAATAGTTATAAAATATGTATTTATGAAGAAAATACCAAGCAACTGTAGAATTTATAATCTTATGTATTGAAATGGATACTTTTCCTGAAGCTGCAGTTCACTTTAAAATCTGAATGAGAAGATTTATAGGTCTTTTTTTCTTAGCCCATACCTGTGATGTTAAGAATATATGAAGGGCTCCCATAAATGATAAATGATACAGATGTGTGTTTAGGTATAAAACACACATCTATCAGTTACCTGAAATGTAAGACTACTGGAAAAAACTTTTTTTTTTTTGAATTAGTGGTAAATTGGTTCATCCAAGTTCACAGTTTACTTTCACAACATAGGTGTGCAGACAGTTTGTTTAGATGTTTAATTTTTTCCCCCATCTGTTCTGTCAGGATTATTGATTGAGCAGTAAGCCACTCCAGGGCATACATAGCCTCCTTATAATTGCTTGCCTTGGGTGCATTGTGTGGCCTGGTGGGTAGGCTGAGGGAGGTGTTCCTTTAACCTCCTAGTAAATCCTCCTGGTAAAAGAATATTGGAATGAATAGATTTTTTTTTAAAAGGCCCATTAGCCAAATAAATATTTACATTGGTAACTTGAATTGATAGTATCATTTAAAAATATGTAGTTTCTCATTCAATGTCATTCTTTGAAATTAAAACACATTAGTTCTTGAATTGTTATTAACTCACCTGGCTGTTTTATAAATGTAAGTGTCTTCATCAAATATTGATCAGATATTTCCAGGGTATTTAATGTTAGTTTGTATCTGCTGTAACCTCCTTGAGTCTTAGGTTTTATCATATCAGGAAGTAAAGCAATTTCTGGCTCCTATTAGAAATAAAGCCTTATCTTCTAGAGTTTGTGCTCTCTTTGAGTTTTCATTTGATGTGACCACTCATCAGTCTGTAACAATTGCATTTTTTTTTAATGTTCCAAATCCCCTCTTTCATCTCTGTTTGGGCATTTGTGTTGAAGGTAGGTATAAAGTACAACTACATCTGTGGTTATAAAGGACTGTAGGGGTAGAGGAAATACCAAATGTCTGCTTTCCTATTTAAAGTTTGGGTTTCATTTAAGTCAGTAACGTTGGTTTTATGGAAAAGAGACGCAAGTCTATTTCTTCAAGATAAATCTTTCATTGGATTTTTTCAGGAGCATATTTTGATCTGTATTTATATCCAAACTGTATGAGAAATTACCTTTTAATGAAGTTGAAATATGCTCTACCGTTGTTGTACCTGTCCGTTATACCACTGTTTATCATACCTTTCAGCCAGTCCTCACAATAACCATGAAATAAATTAGCCTTTTAGCCAGAAAAAAAAATTCTCAGAGGTAGCCAGAAAGATTTTGCAATCCTTAAGTTAAAAAAATGTAAATTGTATATGTTATGTATTTATAGAATAATAAGTGCTTTGAGTAGAGGGAGAAAAATTGTCTTCTTAAAATAATCTGAAAGAGGTTATTGGATTCAAATTGGTTAATTTGACTGGGATTTCCAGAGTATTTAAAAGTATTGTGTTTTGAAATAATGTAGACTCAGGAAAGAGAAAAGATATTGTTTGAATAGTGGGAACATATATATCTACATATAAGATAGTGTAATTATTTTTATTTATATATGTTTCATCTTATAGCTGTTTGGAGATAGGATTTGAACAAAAATCTTTCTAATTGATAGTGAAATCTCTTAGGTAAAGAGGGATTTTAGTTGTTAGGGTGTTTTCTCCTCAACATTGCTTAAGTTTACATGTCAGGAAGACAATACGTTACATCAGTTTTATTCAATACAAAGTGATACGGCAAACAGTTCTAATTATAGCATTATGTATCTGTAGATCAATTAAAGCACGTATGTTCAGAGGCAAAATCACTTATCTTAAGAATCAATATTCATTTTACAAAGCTAAATAAAATTTATTTTATCAAACAGATTTTTTTACAATGCAATTTTATTTTTCAGTTGCTTATTTCTCTTCAAAAATAAAAACCCCTTTTTTTATGTACTCACTTTCCCTTCTGGCTGCAAACCAGGTATTTAAACAAAAATAAAGGATTGCCAGTTTTGCCAGCTGGGGATGAGAACCCGGCTGGTGAAATGTGGGTTCAGGAGGCAGTTAATCCAGCTTTTATGCTTTTTATGGTTTTATGAAAAAAAGAGGTTAAAAACCACATTTGGCTCCTTTCCGTATATGCCACTGTTTTATTGGTGTTGTAGGAATGCAGTTAAAGGTTACTTAGATTTAAATTTTTTTGTTGTTATTAGTTAAAATCTTGTGTCAGTTAGATAAAGGCCCACAAACAGTGCATTCTACTAATTGGCCATGAGATAGATCCTTGAATCATCAGAAGTCACTGGTATTTTAAAATAATATATGCAGCATTTCCTTTAACGTAAATATGTAAGTAGAATTTCTTCTGCTTTTTCAGGTTATTTTTTTGTTTTCTGTTTGTTCTCAGATTACTCATTTCAAACAAGTAAAAATACATTCTTTAGGCTAATGATGAAAACTAGAATTTGTTGTTCTTCCAGAAAATGTTTTTGTTAGTTTGTGATTTACAAAACATTTCTAGGAAAGCATAGGATCTAAACTTGTGTTCATATCCTACCAGTGAAGTTTTCAGTTTTTTAGCCGTAAAGCAAACATTGATATAATTGAATTAAAAATCTTTTCATAATAGAAATGCTTACTGAATAGATCTTTTAAGTAACATATTTTTTCTTATAAATTATATTCTTTGTCTTTAAATACCCTACCAAAGTGCCTTTCGTAGTATTTTTAGGTAATCATAATGTAACTGTCAAAAATATCACCTGTAATTCTATGAGATTATTGATAAATTTTAAATAAAAGTCATGTAAGAGTAATCTTCCAGAAAATATTTAATTTGAACCAAGGAAGTTTGGAACACAAGTACTACTTTGTCCTTATCAAATGTTCTCTTTTGTAATCGGTTATAAGTGTTTTTAAATTGATAAATTCATATATGTGGTTTTCCTGATCTGGTTTTCCAAAGCTGAGAGGATCAAATAAAGTAAGCTTTAAGATTATCAAATACAGTTTTAAAATAAAATATTCAAAGTTGCATATGGATGAGGAATATTCCATTGGATGAAGAACAAATCTGATAAAAAGATAAAACCAAATTTTTCCTGGGGCAAATGGTAAGTTACCATGTTCCCATTTGAACACGTTGCTCCAACATAGGCAAACGGATACTTTTATATCTTTTCTAACTAAATTTATTTTGCATGTAATATATTTTGGGAAAAATTTAAGGACATATACCACACAGATATTAAGTCCATTTTTTTGCTGTAACAAATTTTTGTTGTGAGGTACAAAGCTGTGGCTATTAAAGTTTATTACAGCTCATACCATAAGCTATTATATTCACTTTGTCAATTAAATAGTTCCAGAAAGAGTTGAAACATACAGGGACCTCCAAAGGTTTTCAAACTTAATGATTGTCTTGCCCTGTAGACTTCTCCATTACATTGCCTTTGTTTACTACTGTCTTTCACTGTTTAATTTGTATTACTTAGTTCTTCTTAAAGCAAGAATGTGTAGTGCATGTTATATGCTCTATAATCAGCACACCCTAGCTCTGAGCTGTTACTTAAAGTCCACATGGGTGGAACCAGAATGAAAAAGTCACTAGGCCTAAGAAAAAATATGTAAATATGCTAGCTAACGTTTTTCATTTGATCCTTATGTATATTCATGTACTTGGGATTTTTTTTTGTACGACCTGCCCCTTTTTTTGTACACTGGCCATTTCTGGATATATATTGAATGTTCCACATATTTGATGTGATTTGTGTTTTTTGTAGGATGCTTCACAGTTTAAATGTCAAGATCTCAGAATAGACTACCTAGGCTTTGAAAGTTAAGATTCATTTTTATATAAAAATCTTATGTTTTATGAATAATGCTTTAAAAGTTAACATATAATAATTAATCTTTTTACTGATTTCACTTTTAGGTGTTAGAAGATAATGACTATGGCCGAGCAGTAGACTGGTGGGGCCTAGGGGTTGTCATGTATGAAATGATGTGTGGGAGGTTACCTTTCTACAACCAGGACCATGAGAAACTTTTTGAACTAATATTAATGGAAGACATTAAATTTCCTCGAACACTCTCTTCAGATGCAAAATCATTGCTTTCAGGGCTCTTGATAAAGGATCCAAATAAACGGTAAGCCTTGACGCTCAGCGAATTACTGATGAATGTGGTTAAAAATTGAGATATGGAAATTAATTCAAATATAACTAACTCCAAGAAGCAATGTATTTGGTGTAGACATCTTCCCACTGAGATCCTGACTTATTTTTAACTGCATAATATAGAACATTTAAAAATTTTTCTCGACTCTTTCCTAACTTGGAACTTTTATGCAGATTTACCAAATAAGGATTTTGAGAGTTTCATTATCCATATTATGAGTGAAAATTTGTTAATTGCTCTGTTACTTGATCTTGTGGGGATAGGAGAATCCCTTTTCTTTCTTTCAGTCTCTGGGTCTTTGT